GTTTGTCTTATTTTAGCAGTCCTTTTTTGGGCTATATGTCCAAATGTTAGACTTAAGAGCAATTACTGTCCTAAAAAGGAAAAAGATGTTTATATTCACATCTAACAAACTCATTCTGAAATTCAGTAAATCTTTAGCACCTATTAAAGTACAACTTCTTCAGCATCGGGTTGTCCTCTTCCTTGTTCTGCTTGAGATGGTGAGACTAGACGGATTGGTTTTCAGTCTGTGGCCGTTTATAGTTGAATTTGGATTTGGGGTTTCCTGAGCTGTGTGGAGTTGGATTTTGGGAGTGGGTGTTGGGTTTTCCGAGTGTCCCCACTCGTGCATCAGAACAAGTGTGCACGTTGCCTTTCAGAGCCGCTTGCGAGCTGCCTCGCCGTCAGGAGCAATCCTCTTGCTCTGCTCAGGAGTTTAAATTGTAACTTGTGAGGGAGACTGAAAAACGATGAGAAATGCAAACTGATGAGCCTATAAATAGTTGTAATTAAACTACCAGTCACCGCCTCCCCGAACGCTGTGGTTGTGACAGCTGAGACTCAGAACCGATTTCATCTCTCCTGCTCTTGAAAAGGTGGTTAGAAAAGCCCAATCGCAGCGTGGAAAAATGTGTTGGTTTTTTCTTTTCTTTCTTCAGTTCGGTAAGAGATAAATATGCTCACAATGTGTGACTTACAGAACACAGATCCTGCTGATCCATTCTGAACTATGCTGACAAAACAACAAAAAAAGAGGATTGTAGCAATCCTGCATTTCCTACTGTGTGCTATTTTTCATCAAAAGCCTTCTTGCTTACCCGATATCCTCTTAGTTTTGTAAATGAGACCCCGCTAGGTCCCCAGTTACTTTTCTGCCAACGTTTTCATCTTACTGGAAGCTGATAAGGGACTTGGAACGATGGGGTGCTGAACCCCCCCAGATCCAAATTGCTGTAAGGAGTACTCCACGCATAGTGAGGACAGCTCATTTAATTAGGTTTGCATGTGGGTGTCTTGCTTTCTTGATTGCAGTTATTGGCTGCCATGTCCTTTGCTTGGGTTAGCTCTGCACCTGCTCGTGATCGAGGTCGGAGAAGTAGGAAAAAAAAGTCCAAAATGCATTCCATCCCTATAAAAGGAAGTGTAGGAGAAAGTCCTCTGCAGGGCTTGTGTTACGGGTGTCGGTGTCGCCGTCCCTTTGGTGTCCCCCCGGGTTTGGAAGGGCTGCAGCCGCACGGTTCAGGAGCACAGGTGTGATGGCAGCACTTCAAATGAAGCCATCTCCATCGCCGCTCCGGAACCGTTCAACGAGATCACCAACACCCCCATTTTTCTATTTGGGGTGACTGACACATGCATCGTCCTACTCAAAGCCAAAAATACAAAGATGAGAGGGAGCAGGAGAGCAAGTTGCCATTGGAACAAAAGTTACATAAAGTGCAATAAAGTCCCTCGGTCTCCCGGACGCAGCTTTTCTTTTCCTACACTCGCTTTTTGCCATCTTCAGTAGGAGTGTGTGTGTCTATGTGGGGGTGGGATTTTTGTTTTTAAACAATCTCTTGCCTTCTTAACCTCTCCTTTAAGCACAAGTTATCTGTAGGCCCTTCTGTTCATTAAATTATTCTTTTTCTTTTATTTTACGTCTTTTTAACAGCTGGTGTTCAGTTACTTCCAGATGCAGTAGGGTTCTGGGTAAGATACAGAAGATATTGCATTAATTAAAATCTATGGAATGTCACCATATCATAAATCTGTAGGGCTGATTCCAATAATTCCTCCTTTGTGTATGCATTTTTTGAATATAAACTCAAAAACTTGCAAAGGTGTCTCTTGGATCCTGTGTGTATTTAAAAAGCTTGTAAACTGTTCAAAATGTTGCTGCACTCTTGTTTGGTTTTTTGTTTTCTCCTAATGGAAGTAAAATCTTGGAGGGGGAAGTGTGTAAGAAGAAATTAAGAATTTCTTAATTGTGTAAGAAGAAATACATTATTTAATGTTCGCTTCGTCTCAGATGCTGATGCTTGTGCAGTTTCTTTTGTGAGACTGCATTAAAATGGAAATTTTTTTGACCTTTGAGTACTCATTAGGTAAATGTAGCATGATTTATTAATTCTTTCCCATTTGCTGGAATAACCTGGAAGTAATTTTTAACATTTTTTTTTTCATGACCTGTGCTGCACAGGTTTGATTTTTTTGTTGTTGTTGTTTTCTTCAGTTGCATATTTGGTACTATTCATTAGATTTTCTTGATGCAAGCAGAATATCCTTAACTGAAAAGAACACAAGATCGACAAGAAGAATAATTTGCTTGTGAAATAGAACTGGTGCATAAGTAATCCTAATTCTCCTTTGAATGACTTACTAGAGGTTTGGGTATTCTAGAATCTCTAAAACTCTCCAGAATGTTTCCATGAGAATCCATACCCAAAAAGACTAGGCTGGATAAAGCCTCGTAGGAATATTGTCAATTTTTCAGTACAGAAGGAATTGCTGAAACAATTAAAGTAATAACCCTAAATTTAGACACGCATATTTTGCTGTTTCAGCAGTTTGGTGTGAAATGCTGATGGTATGAGGAACGGTCAGAAATGCTGTGCCATTTTTTTTAGATATAGCACTCATATCTGTGATGAGATTGGTTGCAGAGTCTAGTGTTTCGCTTTGCCTTGAAGAAACTAAGAACCTTGTGTCCAAAGAGGAGTAGCTGGTGTTCTTTCTGCAGATATGGCTGTGCCTTTTCACTCGTGAAATAAATCAGCGTAGTGTCTGATTTATGGCAAGTCTGAAAAACAAAGGCCATCTTTTAATTGCCACGTGCAAGGCTGACAAAGCTGCTGAAACAGTTCCCAGCTGCTGTGTTCACATCTCTGTCCCTGGGCTGCCTGGTGGTTTGCTTTGGGTTTTTGAAGTTTGTCTTCTAAAATGGTGCCTCACTAAAAACTCCGCTCATCCGGAACGCGCAGATGTGGTTTGGTACTGCAAGAGTGCAACAAAAATCCTCGGTTACAGATAAGGGAAAAGGCAGATGTGCTCGCTGAGGGGCTAAGAATAAGTCTCAAAAGTCAATGCCATAGGTGGGGACACGGAGCTCCTTGGCTGTAGACCATATAGAGCTCTCCTTTGGCAGGGCAAGGCTGGTTGTGGGCGGTGAAAGTCAGTGTGAGATCCCTCAGGGTCTGTATTTAAGTGGGATATATTCAGACCAGAGGAATTGTCCTGGGAGACAGAGCAGTGCCCTTGTGTCTGGCAGCGATCAGCACCACCTCGTCTTGAGGAGGGTGGAAGAAGACTGGGCAACTGAACAGTTTGCCCACAAGTGAAGCTCCTTCCTGGCCCCTATCAGCTGGTGGGCAGCCTGTGCCCTAAAGCATGAGGTTTTGTTAAATTTTTAACCTTTAAAATGTTGTCAAGTGTCACTTTAAATGTTTTGGTTTAGTTTAAAATCTTTTTCCTTATTGTCTTTCAGTTTCTTTGTGTGTCCTGTCTTCCAGAAGTAAGGAAGATGCATGATTGGTGATCTGTGTTTATACTGTAGACCTTTCTTTGATATCATTTTAATCCAATAAAGGTGTAGCTTTTTCATGTACACAGCATCTCTTACCAATAGGTAAAATTGCAATATAATATGAAATGAACCAATTTACACTTTCTGCTAAGATAGATATTAATTTAGGAACGAAATTCAGTACTTCTTGGTTTTGAAGCTGTTGGATTGTTCTGTGTAGTCTTGTCACGTAAGTTAACTCTGAAAACCAGAATATCTTCTATTTATTGGTTAACGCTTTGTTTTTAACCTTTTATAGATGGTTTCATCCAAATATTACTGGGGTGGAGGCAGAAAACCTACTGTTGACAAGAGGAGTGGATGGCAGTTTTTTGGCACGGCCCAGCAAAAGTAACCCAGGAGACTTCACGCTCTCTGTTAGGTAAGTTTAAATTTATTTTTTTTTGTTTGTCTCCCCAGATTTGCAGGGTTCTGCATTTGATGCTGTTCTATGGGAAGAAGTAACAAACTTCTGGTAAGAGATGAAAGAATGCATGGATCACTTTTTAGTCTGTTGTTTGCTTTTCCCCCTCTTTTTTTTCCTCCTGTTTTCTGTGAAAAGGTTCTCAAATACTTTGACCCAACTTGGGGAAAGAATAGGTTGGCAGGTGGTGAATTCTGATTCTGCAGAGAGACAGAAGAAGTTAAGGGGAAGCAAAAGTAGACTCGTAAGTGTTATTTTTAGCCCTTTAAAAATCTGTTAGGTAATAGCAGAGATCAGATGAGTTACTGATTGAGCACATGCAAGAAAATGCTATCCAGATTCTCTTCTTACTGGAAAAGTCAGCATGTTTTTAAGGGCCACTGCTTCCAAAATAGGCCTTTTGTAACACTTGTCCCTGGCACTTTGTGTATAGTGGCAGGGATGGCGAAAGGACGGCAAGAGGAAGTAGATAAAGGAAAAAGTGGGGTTGGTGATAAGAATAATGCTGCTTGGGTGCCTTTGAGGTAATGGACCTTGAACTGAAGGGGGCTCTTTCAGAGAGCTGTTCCTCGTTAGTACTGGAGACTGTGGGAGCAAATGGCTTGCATCAGGAAAAGGCAGCTGCCTACTGAAGGAGAGATCCTAGCAGTTAGTGTGGAATTCTAGGGAAGGAAGCAAACAAGCTCTGATGAGTGTCTTGAGAATGCCGACTTTCGTCTCCTCACCCCTCCGCCCCTCGTCCTTGTGTGTGCAGTTCTTGGAGGTCTGAGGGGTTTCTGCTGGAGGCTGTGAGGCCGCAGAGCTGACGCTGGCCTCGAGGATTCCTTTGTAATGGAATGAAGGTTTTTCTCCCATTCTTCCTGACTGTTGGACAGCCACTTCCCCTTCTTGGAAGCCACTAAAATGTGGCTGAAGCACACTTGGGAGGTGCACTAGCTTAGCTATTCTGCAATACTTCAGTTGGAAAGTGGATATGGATTTCTCTTTCTCAGACAACAGAACACGAAATATAAAAGGGATTGATTGGAAATCTGCTGACTTACCTGTCTTTCCTTTTTTTTCAAATATTAGACGAACTGGAGCTGTCACTCACATCAAGATCCAGAACACAGGAGACTACTATGACCTCTATGGAGGAGAGAAGTTTGCTACGTTGGCTGAGTTAGTCCAGTATTATATGGAACATCATGGACAGCTCAAGGAAAAGAATGGAGATGTTATAGAGTTGAAATATCCACTGAACTGTGCTGATCCTACGTCTGAAAGGTCAGAGAAATAGTGGTGAAAACATCAGTGTCCATGCACTTCTTAGTAAATGCGTGTGTTTATCCCTGTTAACACTACAGTCAGCTTCTGTTTGATGAAAGGGCAGCCACTGTCTTGCACTAAAAGTGCTCCCACTGCTTTCAGTGAGGTTACTGCAAAGTAGGCTGATAAACATGATTTCAGTAAAACAGTCTAAGCCCCAGGACCTCTTTTCGTCAGCATTCTTCCTGATGTGATAAATACTAAAACAGAGGGCATAATTCCCTTTATTTTTACTAGGAGAATGTTTTATTATAGAAGTTCTCCCAAAGCTTCCTGAAGCTGTTATTACTACAAGGAATTCCCAGGTGTATTTCTGGGCATAACTTTGTAAAATGTGTCCAGCAGTGAGCATATGTATAAGTAAGTGAATGACAACAAAATCCTCAAATTGCTCAAACTCATGTTTTTAAGAGTGTGGCTAATGAGGAGAATCTGAGACTTTAGACTTGACATATTCTGACAAGTGTCTGTGTGTCAGAAACAAACCTCTGTGAGTAGGTACCAGTTTATTCTTAGAAATGAATAAACCTGAAAAAATACTAAAACAAGTTCTCTCGCTCCACAGCATGGCTTGTATTTAACGGTGGTGGGGAGGATTAGTGCCTTTTTGGCCATGTTTCCTAAAGAAATGAGATTGCTATTATCCTGTCCAATTCCTAATGTGATGGAGGGGTAAGGTCTCAAAGACGCTAAGTTCCCACAGGTTTATCAGGAAAGTGCATCCTTACAAAGGAAATAAAGGAAGGATAAATGCCTTGACCGAGGAAAAGGTTGCAGTATAAGCTCGTGCTTATGGAACCCCAGGCAATCCATTTGGACTGTTGTAAAGGATCCAAACCAAAGCTTCATGTGAAACTCAAATTTCAGTGCTTGTGACAGTGCTTGCTTGGAAGGGATTCTGTAATAATTCCTGTGTATGTACATATATACTTCAAGGCTTATTTTGTGTTTTATTTTTATAAACAGGCTTTCTGTAGACCTGGACATTGTTGTGGAGTGTACATAAGCGTTTTACTTTATTATAAATATTTAGAACAAGTGGATTCAGCCATGGCTGAAATGACAAGTAGGGTACCTGTCTGTATCTTGCTTTATTTAAAGGTGGTTTCATGGGCATCTCTCTGGAAGAGAAGCTGAAAAACTGTTAACAGAAAAAGGAAAACATGGAAGCTTTCTCGTGCGCGAGAGTCAAAGCCACCCTGGGGACTTTGTTCTTTCTGTCCGGACGGGAGATGATAAAGGAGAGAGTAATGATGGGAAATCTAAAGTGACACATGTCATGATTCACTGCCAGGTATGATGAAGCACGAGCTGCTTTCACAGGGCTGCTTCCCCGGGCGGCGGGTTTGCTCTAACAGGAGGGCTCTCTAACAGAGAGCTGAACACATTTCCCCTTTCCCTGTGGCACTGTGTGCTCTACATCATCTCTTCGATCAAATTGACTAATTCGATAACATCGAAATTCTATTAGTGGTTTGTTGTTTTGGGTTTTTTTTGACTGCTTGCCTGACTGAATCGTGTCCCACTACACTATGCTGTCAAGCACCTTCTAATAGATTTGCTTTTGATTGCATCAGAAGTCTGTCTCGAATCCTCTGCTGATGGAGCCTTTCATGTTCATGAATCTTCTTAAGTGAGTTGCAGTCTCCCAGATAAATTATTTAAAAACATGAGCAATTGGACAAATAGGGATCCATCCAAGTATATCTGTTTCTCCTGTCAGTTTATAAAGTTGCACCTGGGAGATGATCAACACTCTGTGAAAATTCCGAGTATTGAATCCAAAGAATACTTATAAATCCAAAGCTTGAATTTAATATAAGGTAGTTCTTCACCGAAGTGTTAGTAAATTACAGTCTTTTGATCTTTTCATATATGCCCATGGATTGCTATTTTAAACACAAAAATCACAGATTTTGTCAATTTGTTTTTCTTCAGTTATCCTAAAAGACAGTGCAACACTTAATTGTTTAAAAACAACTAAAATGCAGTAACAGAAATAGTTGGGAGGTGGAAGTGGTCGACTGAGACTGTAAAAGCTAAACTATCAGTTTGTTTTTTCTCCCAAGAAAACCTCTCTGGTTTGCAGTTAAATACTAGTAGCGTTTATGACATTGTGGAAAATAACTTGGCATTGCTTCCTTAAAATAGGAATGGTGCCAGTCAATGCCAGCCCTTCAGGACTCAATGATACTCTTAGGAACTTGAATTGATTTCCGAAGCGATCTCCTGGATTCTGATGGTGTAGCTCAGGTAGCCTGCTTGAGCTGACTGCACCTCAGTTCAGAAGGAATCAGCTTTCCTGAAAAGGCAGATAAAATGATTTTCAATTAGATGGCAAAAAGGTGAATGTCCTCCATAGTCTGTGTGTGTTTCTTTTTGTTGAGGTTCTGCCGTTCCTTAGCAGAAGGATTTTACTAGATTCTTCTACGTATGGTTATAAAGAAAATTTCTTGCATGCTGCATAGCCTAAAGATGATATAGGCTTCATTGTACAAAGTGTATTTATTTTTAATGAGCATCTGTCTTTCAAGGATCTAAAATACGATGTTGGTGGAGGGGAGAAATTTGACTCTCTGACAGATCTAGTGGAACATTACAAGAAGAACCCTATGGTAGAAACTTTGGGCACAGTATTGCAACTCAAGCAGGTGAGTGAATGGAGGAGGCATCGCTGAGCTTTGTTACCTTCAGCATGCATAGTTGAAGCTCAGGCTTTTCCATGTGTTCTATGAGACGTCACTTTTTTACTTTCCTAATGGAAAAATGAAGAACTAAACTTCATAAACTTCCGTCCTTGGAAGTGTTCAAGGCCAGGTTGGATGGGGCTTTGAGCAACCTGGTGTAGTGGAAGGTATCCTGCCCATGGCAGGGGGGTTGGAACTGGATGATCTTGAAGGTCCCTTCCCACCCAAACCACTCTGTGATTCTGTGAAACTGGATGACAAAGTCAGTCGTTTAAATGAGAACAATTTTTTACACACCTGTGAAGGAATAGAGTCTTGTGTCTCTGATCCAGGCAGAACTTCTCTCGGTTTCATCATGATCTGTAGGGATTGCAGGACTAGTCCAGAAACGAGACAATATATTGAAGAACAACCGTGAGACTTTATCTAAAAGCAATTGTTCCCTGCCTCCTTTCTCGCTACCCTCACTGCCCTTCAAAACTGAAAAGTCTAAATAGATGCCTGGATCCTAGAATTGCCTGTCTAAAATGTACATAGCGTAGGAGATTTGTGTTTGAACGGTGTCCTCACAGTTACCATTTGTTACCCCTTTGTTTAACGTTTGTGTCTTTCTCAGCCTCTGAACACCACCCGCATTAACGCCGCGGAGATCGAGAGCAGAGTGCGAGAGCTAAGCAAGCTGGCAGAGACGACAGATAAAGTCAAGCAGGGCTTCTGGGAAGAGTTTGAGGTACTTCCTTACATTCCAAGTGTTACGGTGTTCAATCTCTACACTGCTAAAAAGTTAGGTTGGTCACTGCCTTCCTGACCTTTTCTCGTCTTCCCCTCCGTCACCTCAGATCCCTGTTCTTGCTCCCCTCTCCTGTGCCAGGTACAGCTTGTGTTAAAATGTCACTCTTGTGTCTGCTAGCAAAATGATTGAAATATTTACCTTTTTTCCTGATTCTGAGAGCTAATTATGTTCTTCCATGCTATTCATTGAGTATCTAGCACAATCCTTCCTTGAATATCCTCCCCATATGAGGGAGCCATATATACAACGGTGTGTATCCTGCCGGAACAATGGGATTGTATCTGGCCCACCGGGACAATTCATCAGCTTCAGTTCTGTGTTCCTTTTCTTCATGTGGACAGGAAGAGGTCCGTGGGCTGGATTAATGTTTCTGGAGGCAAAGGACTAATTCCTGGCCTGCGTTACTGCTGGTGACCCAAGTACTGGTGCAGCTGGAGTGCCAGACGTGTTGTGCGTGTGAAGGGAATGGCACCGTGCTTTCTCTTGCGTGTCTCAGTGCAGAGGGTGTTGGGGTTTGCACTCTGCTGTGTTTGGGAGGTTGGATACCATTGCTTTAGGGGAACTTCAGTGGGATTTCTCAGTCAGTATATGCTCTCGTCCTTGAGTTTGTGGCTTTTTGATAGCCCTTTTTTTTTTTTTGGATCTTAAAACTATTGTGAAGCGGTAGTGGTAGCAAGCTCTGAGATGAAGCAACATTGATTATATGTGTTCTGTGGACTCCTGGAGATTTATTTTTGTTTTGTTTGGGTGTTTCATTTCTGCCTGCAGCCAAAATTCCATTTCCCTCCCCGAAAGTAGCATTGCCTTTCTCTCCGTCTTGTCTGCGCACCTCCCGTGTGTGTAATGTAGCTGTGCTGGCCCAGCTCTCCCCTTTTTTGAAGCCCTAATGATTTTGGGGAGCTACTTAGAAAGAAAATATGGCTGAAACTGTTGATTTTTCAAGCAGAGCTAATTAAGTATGAGCATTAACTACCACATTCCAAACTACTTGAGTCTAGCCTGGGCCCTAACTGTTCTCTCGCAACTGCAGTCACTTAGCTGCATGCACGTGATGGTCATAGCCGTAACATACTGGTTTATACCGCAGGCACGTAAGAAAACCACAGTGGAGTCTGGAACTCCACCAGCAGATGGCAACAGGAAACTGGAAAGTCCTGATCTTGGACAGAGAGACTGGTTTTGGCTGTGTCATGCTGTTTTGAGAAACTTCTTGAATAGTGACAGGTTTGCAAAGCAACTGTTCTTGAAGAAACTCTTTTTTTGATCAGACACATTCATTAGCTGAATGTACTGTCCAGTCTGCTCCAAGATTATTATCAGGAGGAGAAAAATAAATCCATGAAGAGCAAAAGACTTACCAAAGAGGTAACACATTTCACTACAAATGTGGATAGAATATAAGAAGGTGAGGTCATGGCAGTGGGGAAATCA